CAGAAAACGTTTACATTAAAACAGCATCTTACAACGCATGAGCGGACCCATACTGGCGAGAGACCATTTGGATGCAAATCCTGTCCACAGACTTTTGCCCAAAAGATCACTCTTATTAGGCACGAGCGAACACATACAGGCGAGAGGCCCTTCGTCTGCAAATTCTGTCAGAAAACGTTTAAATTAAAACACCATCTTACAAAGCATGAACGAACACATACGGGCAAGAAGCCCTTCGTCTGCGAATTCTGTCAGAAAACGTTTATTATAAAACAGCATCTTACAACGCATGAGCGGACCCATACGGGCGAGAGACCATTTGGATGCAAATCCTGTCCACAGACTTTTGCCCAAAAGATCACTCTTATTGGGCACGAGCGAACACATACAGGCGAGAGGCCCTTCGTCTGCAAATTCTGTCAGAAAACGTTTACATTAAAACAGCATCTTACAACGCATGAGCGGACACATACGGGCGAAAGGCCCTTCGTCTGCGAATTCTGTCCACAGACTTTTGCCCGAAAGATCACTCTTACATCGCATGAGCGGACACATACGGGCGAGAGGCCCTTCGAATGCAAATTCTGTCCACAGACTTTTGCCTACAAGTCCAATCGTACAAGGCATGAGCGGACACATACGGGCGAGAGGCCCTTTAGCTGCAAATTCTGTCCACAGACGTTTGCCTGCAAAACCAGTGTTGTAGCGCATGAGCGGACACATACAGGCGAAAGGACCTTCGTCTGCAAATTCTGTCCACAGACGTTTGCCAGCAAAACCAGTGTTGTAGCGCATGAGCGGACACATACAGGCGAAAGGACCTTCGTCTGCAAATTCTGCCAGAAAATGTTTGATTGCGAATCTTGTCTTGTAAGGCGTCAGCAAACTCAACAAGTAATTGTGAAAATTTACAGCTGTGCTATGTGTCCACAAGCTTTTACAAAAAAAACTGATCTTAAAAGGCACTTGCAGACCATCCATTTAAACGAAATGCCCCACTGCAGTACCACGTTTTCAGAAACTGTAACCCAAAGTGATGCTTCCTGTAATTCTTTAGATACTTATCAGTTTAGTCACCAATTCAGTTTTTGTCCACGAACTTTCAACTCCATCGATGATCTTCAAGTGCACACACAGGCCAATCCCATTTATCCCTATGAAATCCCTTTACGAAGGTTTAAGAAAAAAATTTATCTTCAGAATCACCTGCAGCCAATCCACTTGAATGAGATGCCCTACAGCAGTGCCACGTCTTCAGCGACTTTAGCCCGAAACGGTGCTTCCTGTGATTCTGTGGATTCCCATCAGTTGAGTCACCAATGTTTTTTTTGTCCACGAACTTTCAACTCCATCGATGATCTTCAAGTGCACTCGCGCACCCGCCACATCCACTGCTGCGACATGTGTCTACAAAAATTCGACGAATACATAAGTCTATTAAAGCACAAACATAGTGTTCACAAAAGTCGCTAATTAATTGAGTCTAGCTGTACCTCATATTCATGGAATGTGTAGTTTTCATATACTTAGTTGACGAACCATCACAATATCATAGTGGTAGAGTTGCAGTATGAATGAAAATTGATATGCAAAGTCAAGTAGTATTTGGCACTGTTAGTTCTTGGATGGGTGGCCATTGAAGTCCATTTCGTTTTTACTGTTGATTTTCCTGATCCATTAGCTGTATTTCTTCCGTCTTGATGACGTGGATGCGAGGTGTGTTGAAGTCAGCCCTGCTGATTATACGGAAACACCCGGTCAGCACTGAGGCAATACACTGATTTACTTCTATTCCATTCCATCCTTCTTTCCGTCACTTTCCTGAGTGTTGAGTGGCACAAAAGAAAGGAAGTGCGGCGTCTTAATCTACATGTATAGTTATAGTGGTTAGAATCCTTTTAAAACTATCGTGATTTTTTTATACACATTTTCAGATTAAGTTTACTACCTAAAAATTGTGCTTTGAAATAATTTAGAAACCTGTTAGTTTGAAGAGTCAATGGTCACTAGTATATATTATCTATATATTTTAATTTTTATATTGCAGTATGTGGGTAAATGTTTTATTTCTTAGTTCAGTAAGAAAATAAATATGATTACGGTATATCTTCATGTTGTCAAAATATTGTAGATAAATTGAAAAAGAGAAAAAATAAGAGAATATCAATGAATCGGATTGTATATTGGAGTAGGTGAAAGAGAGGAAGCACATCATTTGCTTTCAGCTACGCAATATAACAAGCGGATATATTTATGCGAATCATTGCGTCTGGTATGTATTACACTATCAATCTACAGACTTGCAAAGCAAAAACTATAATTTTAATGATTGGATTTTATTTTGAGATCATTCTTATAGTGCTATATCATATCCAAGCAAGTTTTCTATTAACAACTATAGTGAACTATAGCTATAAAATGCAACAAATTGTATTCTTGCATCTAAGGCACAATAACTGCTAAATGTATAATAAAGCAAAAAGTATCGATTTTTGAAATTATTTCTATTTGTTATTATTAGCCTTACTAAAACAGTTTTCTAGATATTTTGTAAATCGTTGTTATTTATACCATAATGATTAACATGTTTTCATAAGTGATGGTTACACTTTTTGCTCTGGGAAAAATATAAGACATTTATGTGAAGTAGTCGTGCCTAATTATATTGTAGGAACAATAAATAATTTAAATTTTCAACAGTTTTCTAAAGTAGATAATGTACTTAAAAATAGCTAAAATAAGCAGATTGTAAATCTTATTGCGAGTTAATAAAAAGATGTATTATTCTCATTCGCCAGTTTTTAAATACAATAGTAAGTATTAATGTGCACACTTTAGCAGTACTTCATAACTTATGATTAAGTATCCTTCTATCACAAAATATTTCAACACTTCTTCATCGTTTGTGGATACATTACCAATATCGGACCATCTATCCAAATAGTTTATCCTGATGCGCAAAGGGATATTTTGTACATTACTAAACCGATCAATTGGGTATTTTGTCGATTTCCCAGTACTCACTCACTTAATCAGACGAAATGTCCCAATAGGCTGGGTGCACGCCGACTCCCGCGCCCTCCCAAGGCTTGATACTAAAACATCGCGGTGAAAAAAATTCGAAAAATACATTAACAAAGCTGATTGCCTAGAATAAATAATTTTTTTTTGCGTTTTAATGGAATCTTTCTAAAAATTTATAATTAGTCCTCGAATCTACCGTAGTAAGGTAAATGTACCAATTGACGTAACATGCCCCAATTCACGAAACATGAGACTATACATGCTATTTTACAACTAATATCACCAAAAAATTATTTTTAAGCAATTAATAGTTAATTTTAATATTTTTAAACTGAAAAGGCTCGATTATTACATTCAATTCAAAGTAAAATAAGTTTTTCTGTAGAATGGTTTCATAATAGAGACATAATCAAACATAACCTAACTTATTTAGTTGTCCGTATTATGAAACGAACTTTTAAAATGAAATTCAATTCCATTACAACTAACTAATTGGCATGAAATGCAATTGTATCAAAAGAAAATCGTGTCATTTGAGCAACGTACTCCAAGTAACTTAAAATTAGTACCCACAAATTACTTTATGAAGGAAGTTCCATAATTGGAACATGAACTATAAAACACTGGAACAAGCCTTTTGGTGTTTTTTCATAATAGGGGCATAGGGTATCTGTGGGTATTACTGGCACTGCTCCAATTACTTACTGGCAGTCAATAGAAATAAATATATACAAAATTATTTTACAATGATGAATATGCAAAAAAATTTTTGTCGTAAAGTAGATAACTGCACAAATATTATTTAATCGCGTATCGGTACCAAACATAAATTTGAATTATTTTATCAATGATAACATAGACAGGTGTGTGATTCTCTCTCAAAAAATTAAATTTTACAGCAAAAAGCGACTTGTTTTCAATGGTATTTTTATTAATAAATATGTCAAAATCACACAAGAAACGATTTATTGAATTAAAAAAAACCTCAATTTCTCGATAAATGCAATGAAAATTAATTTTGAATGTTTTCTCTTTTTTAAATTTTGATGCCAGTTTTTGGTACAATATTTGTCGCTACTGTTAAATTACTGGCAGTAATTCTGTAAGGTACAGCAATCTAACCTAACAAAGTCAGCGAACACATACAGGCGAGAGGCCCTTCGTCTGCAAATTCTGTCAGAAAACGTTTACATTAAAACACCATCTTACAAAGCATGAACGAACACATACGGGCGAGAGACCATTTGGATGCAAATCCTGTCCACAGACTTTTGCCCAAAAGATTACTCTTATTGGGCACGAGCGAACACATACAGGCGAGAGGCCCTTCGTCTGCAAATTCTGTCAGAAAACGTTTACATTAAAACAGAATCTTACAACGCATGAGCGGACCCATACGGGCGAGAGACCATTTGGATGCAAATCCTGTCCACAGACTTTTGCCCAAAAGATCACTCTTATTGGGCACGAGCGAACACATACAGGCGAGAGGCCCTTCGTCTGCAAATTCTGTCAGAAAACGTTTACATTAAAACAGAATCTTACAACGCATGAGCGGACCCATACGGGCGAGAGACCATTTGGATGCAAATCCTGTCCACAGACTTTTGCCCAAAAGATCACTCTTATTGGGCACGAGCGAACACATACAGGCGAGAGGCCCTTCGTCTGCAAATTCTGTCAGAAAACGTTTACATTAAAACAGAATCTTACAACGCATGAGCGGACCCATACGGGCGAGAGACCATTTGGATGCAAATCCTGTCCACAGACTTTTGCCCAAAAGATCACTCTTATTGGGCACGAGCGAACACATACAGGCGAGAGGCCCTTCGTCTGCAAATTCTGTCAGAAAACGTTTACAATAAAACAGAATCTTACAACGCATGAGCGGACCCATACGGGCGAGAGACCATTTGGATGCAAATCCTGTCCACAGACTTTTGCCCAAAAGATCACTCTTATTGGGCACGAGCGAACACATACAGGCGAGAGGCCCTTCGTCTGCAAATTCTGTCAGAAAACGTTTACATTAAAACAGAATCTTACAACGCATGAGCGGACCCATACGGGCGAGAGACCATTTGGATGCAAATCCTGTCCACAGACTTTTGCCCAAAAGATCACTCTTATTGGGCACGAGCGAACACATACAGGCGAGAGGCCCTTCGTCTGCAAATTCTGTCAGAAAACGTTTACATTAAAACAGAATCTTACAACGCATGAGCGGACCCATACGGGCGAGAGACCATTTGGATGCAAATCCTGTCCACAGACTTTTGCCCAAAAGATCACTCTTATTAGGCACGAGCGAACACATACAGGCGAGAGGCCCTTCGTCTGCAAATTCTGTCAGAAAACCTTTACATTAAAACAGAATCTTACAACGCATGAGCGGACCCATACGGGCGAGAGACCATTTGGATGCAAATTCTGTCCACAGACTTTTGCCCAAAAGATCACTCTTATTGGGCACGAGCGAACACATACAGGCGAGAGGCCCTTCATCTGCAAATTCTGTCAGAAAACGTTTACATTAAAACAGAATCTTACAACGCATGAGCGGACCCATACGGGCGAGAGACCATTTGGATGCAAATTCTGTCCACAGACTTTTGCCCAAAAGATCACTCTTATTAGGCACGAGCGAACACATACAGGCGAGAGGCCCTTCGTCTGCAAATTCTGTCAGAAAACCTTTACATTAAAACAGAATCTTACAACGCATGAGCGGACCCATACGGGCGAGAGACCATTTGGATGCAAATTCTGTCCACAGACTTTTGCCCAAAAGATCACTCTTATTGGGCACGAGCGAACACATACAGGCGAGAGGCCCTTCATCTGCAAATTCTGTCAGAAAACGTTTACATTAAAACAGAATCTTACAACGCATGAGCGGACCCATACGGGCGAGAGACCATTTGGATGCAAATACTGTCCACAGACTTTTGCCCAAAAGATCACTCTTATTGGGCACGAGCGAACACATACAGGCGAGAGACCCTTTGCATGCAAATCCTGTCCAGAGTCTTTTGCCCACAAGTTCAATCTTACAAGGCACGAGCAAACGCATACGGGCGAAAGGCCCTTCGGCTGTAAATTCTGTCCACAAACATTTTCCCAAAAGTTCAATCGTACAAAGCACGAAGGGACACATACGGGCAAGATGCCCTTTGGCTGCACATTCTGTCCACAGACTTTTGCCTGCAAGTCTTATCTTGTAAGGCATCAGCAAACTCAACATGTAGTTGAGCAAAACTATCGCTGTGCTATGTGTCCACAACCTTTTACGAACAAAACTGATCTTAAGAGGCACTTGCAGACCATCCATTTGAACAAAATGCCCCGCTGCAGTGCCACGTTTTCAGCAACTATAACCCAAAGCGATGCTTCCTGTAATTCTATAGATACTTATCAGTTTAGTCATCAATGTTTATTTTGTTCACAAATTTTCGACTCTATTGGTGATCTTCAAGTGCACTCACGCACTCGCCACATCCACCGCTGCAACACGTGTCCACTCAAATTCAACAAATACATAAGCTTTCTCAAGCACAAACATAGTGTTCACAAAAATCGCTAATTAATTGAGGCTTGCTGTACCTCATTTTCATGAAATGTGTAGTTGGCATACAGTTGACGAACTGTCATCATATCATAGTCGTAGAGTTAAAAACTAATAAGCAAAGTCAAGCAGCATCTGTCAGTGTTAGTTCTTAGACGGGTGACTATACAAGTCCTACCGTTTCGTCTTTGCTGTTAATTTTAATCATTTATCAGCTATTTCTTTTTTGCTTTGATAATAATGCGGATGGGAGGTGTATAGGAATCAGTCCTGGTGTTAATACGTAGACAGCTGGCCAGGATTTAGGGAATACACTGATTTTTTTCGATCCCATCCCAACCATCGCTTTCCCAAGTTTAAAGTATCACAAAAGAAATGACATGTGGCACCAATACACCCAAACCTACACCCACCCACACACAATTATATTTATATATATTATTGGGTTTTGCCCCCCTGCACGCTTCGCGTGCCACTAATTTTCAAGATGCATTCTATATAATTAAAAAACTAGATTTCTTAAAGGAAAACAAAATATTATAAGAAATAAACTTTGACAAACAAACAATAAAATTGTTAGCGATCAAAAATTTCTTGCCACACAATGTTTTCGATGTTTTGCTTGGTTCTCCGAATCAATATATATATATAATATTTTTTACGTACGTTTTATGAGGTTAAATTTGCCGCCTAAGAATTGTGCTTTAAAATATTTTTTTTATGTTGTAATATACATGTAAATTTTTTTTAGCTCTGTGTTACAATAAATATGATTACTATGTATGGTTAAGTCGTCATAATATCGATAAATAAGCAAAGAGAGAAAGTATGAGTACAACGATAAATTGGATCATCAAAGGGAGAAAGTATCATTTGATTTTCTGCTACAAAAAAAACTAGCGAATGAATTGATGAGAAACAGTACGTACATCATGTAAAACACTATTAATCTACTGATTGAGAAAGCGAAAACAGTAATTTTAAGAATTTTATATTATTTTGATATCATTTTTATAGTGTAATATCATTTTTAAACAAGTTTCATATTCAAATATAAATTTTTGAAACCCAAGGCACGACTGTCAAATTTTTAATAGAAAAAATGATAACGATGTTTGTAAGGATTTTAAAAGTTATTTTATTTCATCAATATTAGCTTAATGACAATAGGTTTCTCGATACTGTTGTAAATTATTGTCTGTTAGACTAGAATAATTACATTAAAATGTGTAAATATTTATCACAAAAGCGTACAGTAACAAGTTTTACAATTTTCCTCAACCACGCTTAACCTAAAACATTAGCTGTAGAAAAAGAACTGATTTTTTTCAGATGCTAGAATTCTTTTTTCAATTTTCAGAGCATAAAACAAGTTTAAAAAAAGTTAAATTGAGTAAGTAATAAAAATTTGTATTTTTCGAGACTTACGTCTTTTAAATGAAAACAATTTAACAAGCGATCTTTAAGGTGGCTCATCACTCTGAGAGAAAAATGTAGTACAGTCTACGTAAATGTTCGGTTGATTCTACCATACATAACTGTAGTAAAAGGATCGAAGTTACGTTGGCTAACCCTGTGTAGTAGTTTCTACTACATATGTAGTGTAAAGAAATTAGCGGTCAGTTGAAAACTATTTAACAGTAAATAGTAGGAATGTTATAACAAGAAATAAAAGATACAAATTCGCTCTTTCGTTTGAACCAAAATGTAAACAAAGTTTCTTTGCATTTTTATACGGAAGAAAGCGAAAATATGTTGAAAAAATTCATAACCTTAAAAGTGCCCGTCTTTTGTGCCAAACATTGATCACGCATTTAATTTCGCATTCAATTCCGCATTAAATCAGGCAAATTTGAAAAAGGAAGCTATTGAGCTGTGTTCGAAAAAAATTGATGCAGTTTTTATTTAACAATTAACAACTGAAGAATTTTTTCGTGTGGTTATCGACAACACTCATGCAGTAACGTCTCCTCGTCTTGTATATATATACATACACACACCCGCGCGTGCGCACAAACACACACATGCACACACACATACACACATTTATGTTTCTGTTTTCCGAGCGCACGGCATTACGTGCTTCTTACTACATCGTTTAGTTGAATCTACTACACACCGTTAGTCAACCACCTCAAAAGTCATGTAGTAGCTGTTATCAAATAATGATAGCTACTCAGTATGACTTCTTTTTTCTGCTAGTGCATGCTTGTATACTATCCGTTTGTGTGACATTAGACTATAATACCTGAAAAAATTTAGTAGCGGGCTCAATATGTACACCTGTAGGTACGAATCCGCTTGTTAACGTGCCCCTAGTTTCAGATTTTCAACACGTCATATGTTTTTTCGCTCGGCAACCTTCGACTTTCACGATTTCATTAAAAAAACGATTATTCAAACAACTTACTCCTAGTTTTTGTAGCATATGGCTCGATTTTAAGCCAAAAAAAGCTAAAAATTAAGGTCAAATAATAAAAATGCCTTATAAGACCAATGCTGAAATTTCGAATTTTGAATGTATTTTTTTTTTTTTACTTTGGTGGGCAATATGCTCTGAAATTGAAACTGTAGATCCATTTAGTGACACTTTACTATAAATATCAATTTGGATAGAATGGTTCGATTTTGAAAAAGGTGATGAGCCACCTTAAGGGACAATTTGAATTATCAATCAAATAATCGTTTTTTATGCAATTTTGGAGCTGGTAAAATATCTCTTTGATAACATTTCTATTATTTAAAAATGTCAGGTTGATATAAAAATGAAGCTATAAATAAAATTTCAGCCCAATTGGATGTAAAGCTTTGAAGTTAATCAATTTACATGTCTTCATAAGTGAGGGTTATACTTTTTTCTCTGGAAAAAATGTATGGCACTTTTGTGAAGAAGAACCCACAAACTCTGCGTAGATAAGTATTATAGTACTAAACAATTGTGAGATGTAATTATGTTGTATTTACGGCCGTTACCTACGTATTATTATCATGTGTGTTATGTTGACATAGCGGCAATCCATGATTTTATTTTTTCCTATCTTGTAGGAAACATGAAAACACCAAACAAAATTTATTACCATATACCGGCATTATGCACACTTTAATTACTGATAAATTTAGTCAAATCACTCTCCATAATCTTTTTTTTTTTATTACAAAGTATTCATGTAAGTCTCCATTCAGTCTGGCGATCTCAGCGAGGGATAATTTCTTTTACTTGGTAGCACCATCTGAAATATACGTATAGCAATTTGAGCATTTAACATGCTTGTTCATTTATTACTTCTTTCACCAGTACCCTCCAAATGTTTAATAAATTTGTATCAAAAGTTCATTATTGAGGAGGTTTGAGAGTAATAATAAAATGCAGAGATCACAATGGCATTGAGTTTTCTTGATAGTATAAAATACGTAAAACTTAAGTAATAGCCCCACTTTCTGGCCTAGGTACGTAATATACTATTACGTAAGCATCACATTTACAACTATTAGCCCCCAGTAGTTGATTTCAATAAATTTTAACTCATAAAATACAAAAGCTATATTTAAAAATGGTTGGAATAAGTATTTATTCTAAAATTGTTCAAAAAGTCACTTCACAATTGTATAAGCACTTTGCAAGTTTGTGCCTTACTATAAAGACAAGTTCTGATGAAGGTCATTTTCAAAAGAATCAAACAAATGAAAATCATGTGATTGACATAGGCTCTTGTGTGACTTAACCTCTTTGTTTCACTTGCATGGACAAACATTTTTGAAAAAAGTAAAGATATAAAAAAGAATCTACCTACCAATTAATTACTGCTTAGTTATTTAGTAAGAAAAGTTTTGAAGCATATTACAGTTCATTTTAAACAATGCTTACTTGTACGTGCGTGGCTGCTGCATGCCTGCATACAGTACTGGATTACTGGAGTCGCTATGTATTGTTTTCTATCTCACTTGCTCTTCATTTCCCTAGAGTCCCTAGATCAACAAACGCATGAGCGTTCACAATGAACGACAGAACGATTGCGTGTAGATTTCATGTAAAATAAGCTACAAATAACTTTTTTTGGGTCGTGAACTTCCCGCCGGGTATCAAGAAAAATCGTATACGCCACTCGGCAGGAAAATAGCATATCACCGTCCGCGTATTTGGCAATTTAAACGGGGACGGGAATGTTATACTTTGCTGCCTCGTGGCGTAATATACTGTTTTATCAAATTTTCATTGTCAATTTTGTAACCGATAGAACTCCTTTAAATGAAGTGTCTCTAGCAGTACTACCACTAGAACTATAAAAATAAAATTTTTTTTCATGCATCAGCAAACGTCAAACTGTTAATTGGATTAAATTTCAAAGCGTAATTTAAACATGTATACGTGCGTCATAACAAACATTCAAAAACTCATCAAAAAAAGGCACGTCATAACGGATGAAAAAATAAGTGTGTATAAAAAGAAATGAACAAGTCAAGAGATTTGAGAGTAGAAAAGAAAGAAATGATACATTTGGGCAGTCGGGGCTAATCCTATTTTCATTAGATCCGTTAATGGTTAATGGGTGGCAAAGTGGTCAGCGACCGGAACAAGGGCTAAGTCCGTCTTAAATCTCGGCGGAGACGAGAGGAGGAAGGAGCGGGAGAACCCCCTTGCTATGGCACACCGGTCTTTACGCTATTTTGCCCACCAAGAACTCTCCGGCAACAGCACGCGCCTTGTAATCCGCAAAGGATATAACCATCGAACGCTCTGCTTTGGGATGTTTCTCTTCGTTCCTACGTTCTCGGTTCGTCTCCGCATTGTTGGTTGCATGAATGATTGAAAGGGTGGGAAGTTGAAAATCAGATGGTTACGGAGTACTCGTATGGCTTTCGTCTTTTGATCGAGTTGGTGAAATGTTCTTATGGAAAGGAACGAAAGCTTATTGATCGATAAGCAACTTGTCAGCCCTTGGACATTGAAATCTCTAATCATTTTTATATTCTAGGGCATAGCATTTTATTACAACTGAACATTCTTAAGGCATTTATAA